TTAAGAAGTTCATCAATTAGAATCCTAGAGCAGCCCAGTGCTAAGGCTCTGAATGAGGTTCACAGGACTAAAGACTTAATTAAATGAGTCAAAGTTTGATTTAACTTGTAAATTCTCTGTTGATACCTAGTTTCAATCTCACTTTAAGTGAATTGAATTTAAAAAAAAACAAACATACTACGCTTGCGGACAGTAGCCCCATCTAGGGGTAGAACTTCATGGTTTTCCTTCTTGCTTTCATTTTTTTTTTTTTTTTAATCTTCCTCTTAAGTGTTTATTCAACCTAGCCTATTAGTTGGAGGAAGAGAAAAATTCCCAGATTTGCAGACAAGAAAATTTTCTACCAGTCTATCCGGAAAGCTGAAGGAGTTTTAAGGAGAGGCATAATGTGGCATTTTATGAGAGGAGGAGGTGGCTACAGGACACCTTCTTGCATACGGTATCACTGGCGGAGCATCAGCTGTGCTGAGAAATTAGCAGCACAGTGCTTCCCCTTCATTTAGTGGCAGGGCGCAAGGGCATTGACTCTATGGTGTGAGCCGAGGCTGGCAGAAGAGTGGGAATGGAGCAGGATGAGAGGCATAAAAACCCCCTTTTGCAAGGTGCACCAGATGCAAAATGATGTCTTATCAGTTTCGCAGGTTCTGCCACCGGCATCCGTTGTAGACCCGGGCAACTCGCAGGGCTCCACTCATTTTGTGGCCTTTGCCCAGGAGCAGTGAAGGCCCACGAGCCCGCAGATGGAGTCGCCCTCCCTGGCTCAGAGAACGCTGTAGAGAGGAGGGAAGGAGGGAAGGAGCTCCCTGCCAGAATGGGGAAGTGCTGCCACTCTGGCAACTGGACAGGAAATTTTAGTTTCTTCCTATTTTCTACTCTCCATTTTTATGAACTGACTCTTAGTTTTTATTCCATGGAGAGATTCTGGAGAGGTATTTGATAATTATAATTGTCTCTGGTTTACTGACGCTTAGAAAATCACAATTTAGAATAACGAGCAGGCTTAAAAAGCATCTGTTTATTAAAGAGGACCCTGTTTTATCTCTCTCCAAGTTCACTGAACTCTTGTTCATGCTTTGCTTAGTATGAGGTGATAAAATTGCAAATTGATTGCATGTAGGAGACCGGATTTCATCCAGGCCACTCAAGCTGGCAATTTTAACTGAATTATGTATGGCAATTTCCCCTCATCCGGAGCGAGTGGTCCAGACTGGGAGGCGTAACCAGATTAGGGAGCTCACTGTGACCGTTTGCACCATGGAGCCTGCCTGTGCCGCTGGAATAAGGAGCCTACGCATGGCAGGGCTCTCGGGACCCTGTGTGGAAATTTAAAAAAGGAAAAGAAAGAGAACACTGTGACACTCAGACCAAAAAATGTCAGGGCCTGGAAAACGACTGCACAGGTTCAGCATCATCGCAGCTCCTTGTGAAAAAGCCACACTCAGCATTATCCTCCTACAAACCAAAGAGGCAAACCAAGAGCCTCTTCAGAAAAGAAATCAGCTATGAGGTACCCCCTTTTTGAAAGAAGAAAGGCCTGTCATCTTAGTGTCAAAAAGGCATTAAAAATGCCAAGAGAGTCATTTCCTGGCAGGTGACCAGATATGTACCAGAAATCATATTGGGTATTTAAGACAAGTGGACATGGGCCTGTGTGGGCAGCGTAGATCCGTGTGTACCGTAAGCCGCACACCCCGAGTATGAATTGTAATGAAAACTCCCACCACCGGGTAGTCTGCCTGCAAGGCCTCCACACTTAGAAAGACAGAGGTCACCCATGCCCAAGGAAACTAAAATAAAAAGGGGTTTTATGTGTTCAGCTTAAAACTGTGTTCTCCCAGCTGATATCAACAGAATAAATCTGTTGCAGCGAAGGCAAACGTTAAATTTCTGCCCGAGCCCCTCCTGCCGCTTCCACGGTGTTGACAGGCCGGTGCCTCCCGTCCCCTCCACATAAATCCGCTGTGCACGTGAGGACCAGCTGCAGGCACGCGGTGTGCAAAAAGCATTTCGCCGCTGCCAGTGTGTCGGGCCTTACATCACTGTCGTATCAGTCTAAGCAGAATAGAGCAGATTGTTTATTTTGGTTTAGCTCCGCTTCAGGCTGTAACATCAGATGTAACTCCCAAAGTGACAAATTTCAATCGCAGTGTCACAGATTAAACAAGGGTACTGAAGTGCTGGGTGAGCACGTTTTGGGGGGGGGGCAGGGGGGCGGGCGGAACAGAGGAGCGTGGAGAGGGGCTTCTGCCTGGCTGTTTGCTGCGGGGTTCTCTCTGCCCCAGGCAGCCCCCACTTCTCACACTGGAATCAGTTCCCTTTTGCCTGGGTTGATTGATGATATCATAGCGTTCTATGGGTTAAATAAGCCAGGTCTTTAATTTCTTCGGAAATACTAATTAAAGATGATTCCCCCTTTTCCTTAGAGCATTTTTAACTCCTTTCATATTTCTATATTTTAAAGACTTTGCTGAATATCCTGAAACTCCTGGGGGAGGAAAGAATTAGTGCAAACTGGTGGGTGGTGGACTTACCCTGGAGAGCAACTTGGCCACAGGGGGCAATAATGATGCCCAGTGACATAGGCCAACCCCAGCCTGCCGTGGGGACGCCCCAGGGTGGGGGTGTTCACGTGCTTATTTGCCACATGTTTATCGTCACACAGCTATGCGGGGTGGCTAGATCCCGCAACCTCTGTGCAAATCTTGGGGCAGGCAATGGTATGTCAAGAGTCCACTCAGAAAGCTGCGCTCCTCAGGCTGGTGCCCTGGCCCCGGAGGAATCTGCTCCATTGCAGCCACCCTGCAAGCAAGGGTGTGTGTGGCATCAGCTTTCCCTGCACTGTTTGAAACCCTTCAAAGTATGTATGGACAATATCATCCTCATTCCACACTTGAGCCTCCCTCTGCCCCACTGCTTCAAGCAATTTGTGGAATGCAGTGTCTACAATATAACAATCTAAAGCTTGAAGCCAGCTTGTTCTGATGAGAGTATTCCTGCAGAAGTCGTGTTCCCCAGATAGAAGAATAATTATAAAGTCTCTTATCGCATTGAAGTGATTATTCAGACTGAGCATCAGTTTATTACATTTTCCCAAACAAGTTATGGATAAGAACTGTTAAATAATAACAATGCCTAATTACAGAGACTGTTCAGAATGGGGCTGTGTACTCTAGTCTTTTTCCTGTAAATTAGATATGGTCTGTGGTGAATCCTCAGATGCCCCATCCATGGGTTTACGTGTGAGAATGTGTGCTGGTCTTCCCGCTGCAAGGGACGAAGGAGCTTTTCCCTGACGCTGTGCCGGAGGGGTATGATTTGGCAGTACAGGTCCTCTAAGAGAGAAGTGTTTTGCTTAACACTTTGTGTTTATATAGCATAGCCCTCTGGCTCCTACATCAGTGCATAAGTATGCACGAGCCACATATAAACCTCCCTCTAGAACTGGGCGGGTTCACTGCCCCACTGAGCAGATGGAGAAGCGGAGGCCTGGCCTTTCCTCACTGAATCCAGTGGCTATTCTTCCACGATGTCTGTGTTGTGCTCTTGGGTTGTGACATTTGCTAACCACGGTGTCTTTTGCTCACTGTCTTCTAGTGTTTGATCATTTTAAAAGTCTGGAGTCACATGTTTTACAGTTAATAGCTTTCCCATGGATTCGGAACCATGACTTTAAAAATAAAAGATGAATCATGAGCTCCTATAACTTGCTAGGTTTATTACGAAGTACATTTCTAAAATAAAGAAATCTACGTAAAATTCTGGTAGGAGACCAAAGGGTTCCCTAAGGGCCTGTGGGATAGGGACTGAGCAGTAGTCCGGGTGGCAGGTGCTAGCCTGCAGACACAACAACTTAATGATCCATAAAATGGGTTAGAAGCTGCAAACTCACCTAATTTCTCCAGGGTCGCATAACCAAACTCCTATACTTAACTGCTCACTCCATCTGCACCTGCCCACCCAGACATTAGGGGTGAGTCCCAAGAACCTGCTCTGGAGGAAGTTCTAGGTTTATCAACATGAACAGATAAGATACTGTCTAGACTAAGGGTCAGCAAGAAAAAAAAAAATAATAAAATAAAAAAATGCTGTTGGACCTAGAACAGCATTGGGTTATATAGCTTCAGACATTTTAGTCAAAACCTTTTCTTTTGCATTTTTCTAGGCTAGGGATTAGCACCTCGTATTATGAGCAACCTAACTAATCTTAGCACAGCCTCATTCTCTCTTTAAAATGAGCCCTTTAGAAGATATTAAACTGGAGAAGTAGGAACTAACTCAGGCCTCAGGACAACTACCTCAATGTGGGAAGTCATTTGGCCCACAGGGGGTGTGTCTGTGCAGTGTCCCGCCAGGGGCAGGGGCTCCAGATGGAAGGCCAGGAGTCTCCTGAGGTCTCCTTCCTGCTGCTCTGGGAATGAGGGCTTTGTAGCTTCCCTGGCTTATAAGATGTTTTCTGAGCTATACCAGCTCAATCAGAAGGTGGGGAGGTCTGAGTTAGGGTGGACAGGGCTAATGAGCGCAGGTTTCTGAGCTGACTCTTGACGTTCCATTGCCTACCCCAGGATTTGCAGAGGGGTTGTGGGATCTAGCCACCCTCCTTCATCCCCAAGGCCCCTTAGTATGATGCCCGATGCACCCAGTCCATATAGCATCGTCTAGAATGAACTGGTTCCGTGTGGCCTTGGGAAGTATGTTCATCTCCTTTGACCGCTGACTGACTGCTCATTAGCCCATCTGTAAGGTGGGGGTAACAATAACATCTCTAGGACCGTGGTTCTAGTGGGGGGAAGGTAGGCTCAGGGGATTTCCCCTCTCACTCATCACCCTCCCCAGCAAGGCATTTGGCAATGTTCGGAGACATTTTTGGTTGTCACAACTTGGGGGCAGCTACTGGCACCTAGTGGGGGTAGAGGCAGGGATGCTGCTGAACCCCACAGTGCACAGGACGGGCCCACAACAAAGAATTATCCGGCCAAACTGCCACCAGTAGTGAGGTTGAGACACCCTGTTCTGGGATGGCATATGTTCCTCTGTCACACGTGTGGGTGTGAGGCCCCAGAGAAGCCTTAGGAATCTGCCTCCGTGTTACCACTTCTTAAGTGCACTCAGATATTGATCTTTCGGTGTCTGAAGAGCAGCACCATTATTCTCATTATCACACTTCTATTCAATAAAGTACTAAGATATTTAAAAATATGTGTTTCTTTGGGTGCCCATAAAGCTGTTTCTATTTTGAATTTTAAAACATGAGGCATCCCTAATAAACAGTTGCAATTTCCTTGAACTTGCTTGTTCACAAAAGTGGTTGCGAATTAAAAAGTGTTAGGAGTAAATAATGTAGCACAAATGACTTGAAAAGGAAGAAACATATAAATTCAGTCATCTAGCGTGTTCTTGGGTGCTGTCCCCCCCGGTAACAAATCTGTCCAATTGGTCAAAGAAATCCTACACTGGAGAAACTTCCAAGTGGGGATGAATTCAAGACTGTCAGACAAGCTGTTGGATCCAGGGTGTGGGGGACTTGCTGAGGAAGTCCCGTAGTTCAGCATGGCCCAAGTGGGCTGCTGCTACCAGAAGCTTCCCTGTGGGGACTTGGACCAGGGACAGCTGCAGACCTGGGCTGTGCAGGGGTGGGGGGGGCCGTGGCAAATCCACATCTGCTCTCTCGCCTTCCCCTCTCTCCCTCCCGTCTCCCCGGCCTCTGTTGTTCCAGGTTCTGAGTGGGGTGCCAAGCCATCTGACGTTTACCTGCGCATGTGATTAAAAGAATCCACCCAGTTAGATTTCATTCCCACTTAAATCTGCAGTTTGTGAGACTAGACAGAAAGAGTACACAAGATGTAGAAGCTAAGAGCATTTCTGCTGCTTCACACAGAGCCGCTGCCTGCTCTCCAGGCCCTGGCGCTCACAGTTGATTATTTTGAAATGGCATTTCCTTGAAGTGCATGGCTGATGTTATGAAAATCAGGAATCTCGATGGAGCCTGGGATTTTTCTGCTGTCAGTCGACATGTCAAGGTGGTTTGGGGAGCAGGGTGCAAGACAATGATATTTCTTCCCTCTGTCACTTCGTGTTGATTTGGCGCTGGATATATGAGGAGGAAGCAGATGATCTGTAAGCAGCTGACATGTCACATGTACTTAGAAATACATCTGGACAAATAACAGCTTCACACCCAATAAACATCACTCTTGTGATTGAGCCAGTTCTTAGTACAAAGCTCTTATTTTTATTTCATTGTATTTTGTTTTTCTAATGTTGTAGGTGGAAGCCACAGACCACCTGCATGTTCCTCTACTCCTTTGAATCTCTTAGTTAAAAGGTGGTTACTAATGAGGCTGAATTTGTCCCCTGATGGGCCAGGCAGCTTCTCTTTCCGGGTGTTGCAGGATCCGATCACCGTTACTGCAGAGCATATGTTCACTCTGATCAAAGGCAGCCGGATGAAGGTGGGACGCACCAGAGCCTGGAGCCCGGCCAGCCCGTGCTGTGCACCGTGGTCCCTCGCTGTGGTCAGGAAACAGGGTCGTAGGAGAGGGGCCTTTGGCCACTTTGGTGT